TAGCAGTTTGAATTGTGTGTCCTGAGAGTGCTTTGTTAGAGGTGTGTCTTCAAGGGGCCCTAGGATGGGAGGCAGGGCTTTGAGCTGGGCCTCCTTTTTAGAGCCATTAGGCTCCCCTGAAAGCTTAGAAGAAGGCAAACTGAAGGGGAGCTAAGTGTTTCCTTCTGGATAGGAAGCGGTGCCAGTGTTGAGATGGCTAGGGTAAGTATGCAAGAGTCTGTGTAACTTCATTCACTGGTGCTGGATGCTGGAAGGCTTTCTGGTGAATTGTCTTCATTACACTACGTTTCTGTATCGATAGCTTCCTTTCCCCCATCAGCACGACCTGGTCTGGCCTTCCGATATGTACTGTGAGTAGAAACAATTATATTGTAAGAGAAAGATGAGTTGTACTAAGTTGAAAGAATACTGTTTCTTTGAACAGGAATGAGATGATTATGTTGGAAGGTATTCAGATCAGAATTAAGCCAGGTGAGCCTGGGATAATAGGAAAAGAAATATTAGGTGTTAGGTAGAAAGTAATTGAGGTAGCCAGAAAGATATGGACAGGAGATTGCTGTGTGCTTGAAGTGGAAATTAAGGTACTTCAGTAGTCTGACTAATCATGTAAAGTTTTCCTACCTTTTAATCTTGTTATATTTATTCAGTCAAAAGCCAATGTAAGGGGTTGGAGTCTTGTATGGTACTCACATTTTCTGGGTTTATTAGCAGAGGGGCTTTGCTAATAAACAGCGGGGTCTGACAAATCTGAGTCCTGTGGGTCTGACTTCGACAATTTGGAGGTCCCGCTGTGATGGCAGTAATCTTCACTGAGGCTGTGAGATACCTGACAGTCTTGCAGGATGACCATGGCTGCCGGCACTTGGGCGTTTGGGCCAAGCGGTCCTCTGACAGTGGCAAGGTGCACAACCACAGCGAAGTCTACAGTGTCGAACCTGTTGGTTCCCGCTCTGCTCTGGTAGGGATCCTGGGATATAACATCAGGACTCTGGTCAGGTAATTATTTCTATATTTTGTTGGCACCGAGGACTGTCTTGTCTCCGTGTGTATCCATCTTCCCTGTGGCGTGAGTGAGTCATCCCTATCCGCGGACTAACGGACCAAGGGGCTCCTGTCCCCACGGTCTGTGTGACTGGAATCTGCGCAATCGCAGCCGCACCACACCTTGGATAAAATCCTTGGAGTGAACGCAAGGGCGGTTGAGGCAGTAGCCTGTGGGCTTTTTTCGTGGGGTGCACTGGGCACTGCTCTGGCAAATCTGATTCGTGTGTGTGTCTGACTTTGACAGTACCCTGGTATGACACTGTCCCATTGGTAGTCCTCCTTCCACCAAGTTTCCGTGGTGCCTATTGTATCGGTAGCCTCCTTTGATACGAGGCGCTCTGGTTCACCCACTTAATATTTAGAGGTCTAGCGTTTGTCTAGAAGCCCTTTGAAAATGTCACGCTTTAGCTGTCTGCTGTTTCCAGACGTGTTAGACCCTTTTTCGTGTGATTGTTTCTCCTCTGCTCTTACCCAGTCTCTCCCTTAATAGAGATGTCCCCTAAGAGATGTCTCTGTCCGATGCAGGTGCTCTTCCGCACCCGTCGACTTCCCTTTAGCCTCTAGTTGAAAAACTGCTCTCCGCCTTTTCTAATGCTAAGGGCCGGCAGTCGGGTTCCCTTTTTGGTTTAGGTGGAGCCCATCCTTCCCGTACAGGCTCCCTCTTCCTCTAAAGTTCCTTTCACCGCTTAAATCCCTCCTCTCTGCTCCATCGTCTTCTCCGTGCATTGAGACTGTGAAGGCCTGCCTGCCTGCCTACCTGGCCCTGAGCATGGAACTGGAAGCGTTTTGGAGTTAGCCTGGGAAAGGTCCGAGAGGCGCGCTTGGGTAAGTGTGGCTCTTTGTGGGGGGGAGGTGGCGAGGGGAGCTGTGCTGTGGGCTGGTGGGATGAGTATCCAAGTGTGTGTCTGTCCGATTTGTCTGACTGGCGCTAGTTGCGGGGACTGTGAGACCATGTGTTTGGCTGTCAAGAGTGCTTTGATGCAGGTGGGGGCGCCTTCAGGGGCTGATTGGGTTGGAAGCAAGGCACTTGGAGCCAGCAGCCTTATCCCAGAGGCAGCCAGAGCGAACTGAGTGAGCAGCCAACAGGGGACTTGCCCTCGGCGATGTCCAGGTGGAGCTCGGGTAAGTGTGGCTTTTGGGGGGGCTGTGTTAAGATCGTAAGAACGGCCATAGGTCCATCTAGCCTAGTCTCCTGTCTTCCGACAGCAGCCCGTGCCAGATGCCCCAGAGGGAGCCAACAGACTGGCATCGAGCGTTCCCTCTCCTGTTGTCCGTTTCCAGGCTCTGACTGACAAACCAGAGGCTAGGGACGCCGCTGACGGCCCTGACCCCCGTGAATGTATCTCGTTCTGTTTTTGAACCCTATTAGAGTCCTCGTCTTCTCAACCTCCTGTGGCAAGGAGTTCCGCAGGCTGAGTGTACTCTGCGTGAAGGAGACACTGCCTTTTTGTGTTAAACCTGCTACCTATTAATTTCATTTGGTGACCCTTGGTTCTTAAGGCAACAAGTGTAAACTTTTTTCCTTGTTGACCTTTCCCCCAGTCAAGATGTTTATAGACCTCGATCGTATCGCCCCCTGAGTCTCCTCTTCAAGCTTGGGGGCGGGTGAGGGAGGAAGTCCCAGTCTTTTTAATCTCTCTTCCTATGGGACCCACTCCAAACCCCTCATGGTTTCTGCTGCCCTTTCCTGAAGCGCTTCCAAAGCCAGTTTTAATCTTTGGCACGGAGGCAATGCCGTATGCGAGATGTGGACGTACCGTGGCTTTATAGAGAGGCGATGAGAGATTCTCTGTCGTCTTCTCCTCTGTCCCATTTTTAAAGGATTCCTGATGTTATGCGTGCTTTTTTGGGCTGCTGCTGCACATTGAGTGGATGTTTTCGGGGAACGCTCCCCAATGACTCAAAGATCTCTCTCCTGAGTGGTTAAAGCTTAAATTAGTCCCCATCGTTTTGTATGTAAAGTCGGGGATGCGTTGTCTCTCACCCATGCACATTACTTTCCGGTCACCGACATCATTAACTTTCATTTGCCATTTTGTTGCCCACTGACTTAGTTTTGTGAGATCTCTTGGAAGCGCTTCATGGTCCGCTTTGTTCTTAACTATCTCGAGCATCACCTGCAAATTTTGCCACCTGACTGTTTCCCCCTTTCCCCAGATGACTTATAAATAGGATGGGTCCCAGTGCGGACCTTTTGGGGTGGCCCCTCTCTCTGTTGTGAAAATGGACCATTTATTCCTACCCTTAGTTTCCTGTCCCAGTCTGTGGGTTGTGTTTTTCCTCCTAACCAGTTAGCAGTCCATGGGAGGACCTTCCCTCTTCTCCCTTGACAACGTACTTGACGTGAGAGCCTTTGGTGAGGGAGCTTGTCAAAGGCTTTCTGGAAATCTAAGTACACTGTAGCCACTGGCTCCCCCCCTTGGCCGCATGGTTGTTGTCGCCTGTCAAAGAACTCTAGTAGTAAGACGTGACTTCCCTTTACAGAAGCCATGTTGGCTCCTCCCCCCTGCCCACCCCCCACCCAGCAAATTATGTTCATCTGTCGGACAATTTTATGCTTGACCGGTTTTGTTCAATATCTTTATTAATGACCTGGATGAGGGGATAGATTGCACCCTCAGCAAGTTTGCAGATGACACTAAGCTAGGGGGAGAGGTAGATACGCTTAAGGGCAGAGATAGGGTCCAGAGTGACTTAGACAAATTGGAGGATTGGGCCACTAGAAATCTCATGAGATTCAACAAAGACAAGTGTAGAGTCCTGCACTTGGGACGGAAGAATCCCAAGCATAGTTACAGGCTGGGGACCAACCAGTTAAGTAGTAGTTCTGCAGAAAAGGACCTGGGGGTTACAGTGGATGAGAAGCTAGATATGAGTCAACAGTGTGCCCTTGTAGCCAAGAAGGCTAATGGCATATTAGGATGCATTAAGAGGAGCATTGCCAGCAGATCCAGAGATGTCATTATTCCCCTTTATTCGGCTTTGGTGAGGCCACATCTGGAGTACTGTGTCCAGTTCTGGGCCCCCCACTACAAAAAGGATGCGGACGCATTGGAGAGGGTCCAGCGGAGGGCAACCAAAATGATTAGGGGTCTGGAGCATATGACCTACGAGGAGAGGCTGAGGGACTTGGGTCTGTTTAGTCTGCAGAAGCGAAGAGTGAGGGGGGACTTGATAGCAGCCTTCAACTTCCTGAAGGGAGGTTCCAAAGAGGATGGAGAGAGGCTGTTCTCAGTAGTGACAGATGGCAGAACAAGGAGCAATGGTCTCAAGTTGTGGTGGGAGAGGGCCAGATTGGATATTAGGAAAAACTATTTTACTAGGAGGGTAGTGAAGCATTGGAATGGGTTACCTAGGGAAGTAGTGGAGTCTCCATCCCTAGAGGTGTTTAAGTCTCGGCTTGACAAAGCCCTGGCCGGGTTGATTTAGATGGGATTGGTCCTGCCTAGAGCGGAGGGCTGGACTTGACGACCTTCTGAGGTCTCTTCCAGTTCTGATTCTATGATAAGGGGATGGTTGGATGAAATAACATGATCTTGGTAACTAATTGACCATTCATTTCCAGTTGGAAATAGGTCAATGGAGGGATGATAGGAGTTGCTATAGGGAACTTTCTGGGTGTCTGGCTGGTGAGTCTTGCCCACATGCTCAGGGTTTAGCTGATCGCCATATTTGGGGTCAGGAAGGAATTTTCCTCCAGGGTAGATTGGCAGAGGCCCTGGAGGTTTTTCGCCTTCCTCTGTAGCATTGGGCACAGATCACAGCTGAAGGACTCTCTGCATGTTGGGGCCTTCAAAGTATTTGAAGGCTTCAATATCTGAGACATAGGTGAGAGGATTATTCTAAGAGGGGTGGTTGAGATTCTGTGGCCTGCACTGTGCAGGGGGGTCAGACTAGATGATCATAATGGTCCCTTCTGATCTTAAAGTCTGAGTCTGAGAGTCATAGTTCCAAGTAACTTGCCCAGTGCTGCCGTTAGGCTTACCGGTCTGCAATTGCCCGGATGGCCTCTAGAGCCCTTTTAAAAACCTAGGCGTCCAGTTAGCTAATGACCGGAAAGACAGCTAGGGAAGCTTGATTTAAAGGCTAGGTTACAAAGCCCGGTTAATAGTTGCGCAGTTTCACATCTGACCTTTCAGAACTCTTGGGTGGCGAATGGCGTCGGGTCCCGCTGACTTGTTACTGTGAAGTTTGCTCGCTTTGCTCCCAAACCTCCTCTAGTGACACCTCAGTTTGGGACAATTCCTCAGCTTTGTCAGCTACAAAGAATTGCTCAGTTTTGGGAATCTCCCTAACGCCATCATCAGCTGTGAAGACGAAAGCAAAGAATTAGTTTGGTTTCTGCAATGACCTAATCGCCTTGGAGTGCTCCTTTAGCATTTTGATGGTCAAGCGGCCCTGCTGGTTGTTTAGCAGGCTTCCTGCTTCTGATGTACTTAGCCGAATGGCTTTTTTGACTGTTTGGCTAGCTGTTCTTCAAACTCCTTTTGGCGGCGGCTGTTTCTGTTTTTACACTTAATTGGACCGTTCATGCTCCTTTCTGCCTTCCTCAGTAGGACTTGCACTTCTTTTTAAACGGTGCGCCTCTCTTCTCTCGCTGCTTGGGTGACTTGGTTCTCTTGCTGTGTGTAAATTTGGGGTCTACATTTCAGTTGGGCCGCTCTTACCGTGTCTTGGAAAAGTGTCCATGCAGCTTGCAGGGATTTTCCTTTTGACACTGTACCTTTTTAACCAACCTCCTCCATTTTTGTGTAGTTCCCCTTTCTGAAACTGAGTGCCACAGTGTTGGGGTGCCCAGGTGTCCCCCCTCCCCCGGGAAATGTTAACAGTTATGGCCTTTTGGTCACGGTTTCCCAATGCTCCAGTTGTATTTACCTCTCGGAGCAGCGGATCCTGTGCTCAGTTTAGGACTAAGTGAAGAATTGCCCTCTCCCCTTGCGGGTTCCAGAATGTTAAGGTCTCTTCCTATATGGGATAAAACTGAGGCCCTTTAAATATCTTGAATAGTGCAATCTTAGGGATGGGATAAAACTGAGGCCCTTTAAATACCCTAAGATTGCACTATTCAAGATAATTCAGCAACAGATATAATCAGATCACTAAAAATATTCTAAAAATGCAGGTAGTTTACTTTCTGCTGAGGCTCTTGCTTCTCAGATTCCTTTATGGTATTTTTCAATTACTTGTTACAAATGCTGAGTAGACAAACCCCGTTCTCTCATGACATGGGGGAGAGGAGTCCTGTGGCACCTTATAGACTAACTGATGTGTAGGAGCATAAGCGTTCGTGGGCCAAGACCCTCTTCGTCAGTGCGTCTTTGCCCACGAAAGCTTATGCTCCTACACTTCAGTTAGTCTATAAGGTGCCACAGGACTCCTTGCTGCTTTTGCAGATTCAGACAAACATGGCTACCCCTCTGATACTTGATGTCAGGATATGGTGGCACAGAATCATCAGTCTTTCTAGTTACATGCTTCTAGATTACCACACTTTGTAGGTGGAACAGCTTTGTTCTCATAAACTTTAGCCTGTTTCCTCAACTCTTGCCATTTTATTGTGTATAGGCATGTCATTCATTCAGTTGAAGAACAGTTATCAACACATTTAATGACAAAAGACGCGAGTCTACAAAAAATGTGACAATCATGTGCCATGTGTATTTTGTTCCTGATTTCCACTAATGCCCTTGGAATCGTTTAAATAAAATGTAACACTAGGGACAAGATAGGGACTGTAGGTTTGTTCTTAAGTTGAATCTGTATGTAAGTCAGAACTGGCATCCAGATTCAGCCGCCGGCGGAA